TCACTAGCCTTGGCAGACGATTACAGCATTGGTACGTACTCCCATAAGTTTAGAAAACACGCGTTTGAACTAGGGTGTCGGAGGTGCCCCGGGGCATGCTCTCTAGTTTAGGTTTTTGCACCCTGGTGGTATGTGAGAGAATCGTGGAGTGAGTGGGTGGGTATGTATGTATGTTTGCACTTTTTAAATACGGGTAATTGGCGGACAGATAGCATACTTTTTTGAGCGAATGTGAAAACTTTAATTTTAAGTAGGTAGGATCCAGGAAAGGCATTAGGCTTGCTTCCACTCCGGAGTGGAAATTCCGCCTCCTGATTTATACAGAATTGTTACAAAATTATATCATTTCATTCTATTATGCTTGCTTTTTAAATTTATTTTGTGACTCTTCTGTAATCTTTATTATGTATCATGATTCAAAGGGATTTGCAATGATTTGAAAGATTCATTTCTATTTCGATTCTATCTCGAACGAAATAGTAAATATAATTTTTTAAAATTATACAAATACTTTGATGAATTTGATACTTAGTTTTAAGTATTATAACTAGCACTTCGCACTATCGCGATTTTTTCTCTATTAGAAATATTTGAATATAATTCAATATAACGAATAAATGAAATGAAAATATTGCAAGAAAATGCATAACATTTATTGCATTATTTATTTCAATTTTATTTTATTACTTGATATTAAAAGTGCGATGTGTATTTAGGTCATCGATAATTATCTGCTTGGACATTCGTTTAATTGTGATCGTGTATATATCAATGAACTTTAATTTGCAAAAAAAAAGTATGAAACATCTTATCACGTAGAAAATGTCCAATGCAGTTTTCAGGGATGAAGAAAGAAGAGGCTAAATGCCGAAGAGGCTAATGCCGAAGAGGCCCCCACAAATTTGTGGTATCAAGTGGGCAACTATACAGACTATTGAGTTATTTTTAAAAGTTCAACAGTAAGTTCGAACTTTTCGAGAATAGCTCTCTTAGTCATATTTTATTATATTACTTTTTTGCTCGTCATTAATTTGTAGTTGTAATTGGAGATGATGGACCATTCCATCTCCTTGGCACACCAAATCTGTGTGCCAATTGGTCCAAAAGGTGCATAAGTTTTTAGTTAGTTACAGTCAAAAATATTAAAATTCTCGTATTATTAAATTTTAATGTTTGATTAACGTTCAGTAAATATTACAGTCATTTCTTTTTTCTTGTTTCGTTTTCAAGATTTTTTACTGTGATTGCATTTTATGAAATTTGCAGTTTTTCTTTTGTATATAACGTATAGTTTAAAAGTATTTTATAATAATTAATAGGATATTATTTTTTTGTAAGTAACTTATTATAATATTTGTACTTTTCCTGTTTCTTAATGTAAAATCACGCGCTTAAATTTAATTTTATTTTACAAACGGTAAATAGAGATTGGATAAAAATAAATAGGGAATTCAAATGAAAAGTGCATCTGTGAATTGCACCAACTTATATGTTAGGCTATTGTATGACTCGATTCTATGATTAATGTAGTTTTCTTTTTGTTACAGGTGATCATCGTTGGATTTAACAACAAACCTTCTGGGTTCTTTTTTATTTGAGTGTCTTAAATTGCTTCATTTTAAAATATATATATATATAAATGCATTTCTGAAGGCACACACATGCTTATACACTAAAAATTAAATATAATTATTTAAAATTCTATTATAATATAACTTTACTATATCATATACTATCATATACTTATCATATCTTTGATAGTATTGTACGGTCATCGCGTTAAGTATCTACTATCGCCCACTGGTGGTCAGGTTAGTAACTAAGATGAATCTGATTAGAAAAAAAGTGGAGCTTGTGAGCTTTTATGTACTTTTGTATTCTTTTGAGGTAGTATACACTTCGAAGGTATATCTATATTTGTTATATACTACTCTATCAGTGTATATTCGCTGCAACGTAATAAAACTTTTGAAATATGCTCCCAGATAGCGTTTCAATCAATACAAAATTTTGTTTTTAGCATTTTTTATCCTGTTTATGCCATTGATCAAATAACTAACTAATCACAAACTTATACGACATTGCAGAATAATTTACTTCTTCTATTTTTCATCGAATTTTTAATAACTTTTAAACTTTTAACACAAAGAAACATTTAATTGGAATATATTTTTAAAACAAAATTTGCAATTAAAATTGTTTTCAATAAACAATTAAAAATGTATGGAAGTATGTCAGGTGTAAATATCATATCATTGAATAATATATGTACTTATAATAGCAATGTGTTAGTATACGTACGAACTATTTTTAGTTTGTATTTTTATTCAACCGCAATTACATGCATTGTTATTGCTAATGACGAAGTATCTATATTGTTTCAAGAATTACATATAGATGTGTTAGTATATGCCTATACATCTATGAATGTTTTGTATATCACATATGCAATGCAACAGACTCTCTTACAATTAGAATAATAACGTTTCTAATATCGTGCATAAATGCGGGATTAGATAATATTTATGATTAGAGAAAATAGGGATGAGTAAGAAAAAAAGAAATAAATTCAAATGTATACGGGCATGAGTTGAAAGGCGAAAGTGGTGAATGTGTTTATGTATACGTGTGAGGAAGAAAAAGAGAGAAAGATAGGGGATGAGGGAGTGTATAGTTTGTGGTTGATATGGGGAGAAAGAGAGAGAGAGAGAGAGAGAGAGAGAGAGAGAGAGAGAGACAAGTATTAAACTGTTACCGATCGATTTTCCAATATAATTTCCAATCCTGTCTCTCAAAGTCTCAACAAGATTTCTAATTTGCTATCATAGTTATTTATTTCGTAAATATAGTAGTTTAAATAGAAAAAAATGCAATTATTAATTTTTATTATCGAATTTTTTTCGTATATATTATATTATACGCGAGATATGAGAAAAATTGTATTATTTAAATTTTGGCAAGAATTAAATGAAACATCTTTTTTTTTATAATCACGTAATAGGAAGTTTTTAGGTGTTAAATAACAGTAAAAACTTCTAATAAAATGTTAAAGTAATTTGCGGCGCATCACAAAAGGAGACAATATAGCTTTCATTTTTATGTTACGCGTCACGTTCTTCTTCTCGTTAACTTTTTATTTCATATTGTGTAGATACATGCGCATAATATTTATCTTTACGTTTTATGTATGTATTACATTTAACGTATTTATGTTTCCCGATAAAGTTATATCTCATTTCTGTAATTTGAATTGTGTACCAACACATCTTCATTTTATTAATTACCCAATTTTATTTTTCTTACCAAAAAAAAAAAACGAAAAGAATAATGTAAAATATGAAACATCAAAAAATATCATTTTCCCTTTGCATTTTGTCAGCTGTATTGCACAGGCAGAATCTATTATTTACGTTAAAATCATAATATTGTCTATTAATATTATATTACCTATAATTTGAATTATTAAATGATTTTATATTTTTCTTTCAATTTAATTCATTTATATTAACATTAACGTATATACGATATTCACATTATTAAACTTTACACGATAATTGTAATATATACATATAATAATTACACACTTTATACAATTTCATTTGATACATATCAATGTGATGACTATACGATAATGGATTGAAAATCTTGATTCTTAACAAAAAACAAAATTGTTCTCGCGTTTAATTAGAAAAAACTTTTCAAAATTCACTCTCGCGTATAATTAAACATATTTTGTTTTTTTCGTTAACACAAAACAATATTCTATTTATTATTTCAATAATTGTTTAAATACAATTAACATATAGAAATGATAGTATTATTAAAGAATATATTTTGAAAAATAAGCAAGTGAGAGGAAGAGAGAGAGAGACAGAGAGAGACAGAGAGAATCTCTGATATGTAGGCTTGCAGTTAGGGTGTTCTGAGCGATGGCTCGTTATATCGAGTAGCCGCTTGTTGCATCCCCTCACGCCATAATGTAAACAAGGGGTTGCGCACGCTTACCGCCCTTCCACACTAACTAATTCTCCCTCTCTCCCTCCTCCTCTCCCTCTCTCTTTCTCTCTCTCTCTCTCTCTTTCGTTTATATGCGCGAACACGTCCTCCTTTTGCCATATTAACTTTCTGGATCGAAGTTTTATCGAGCTAAAGTTCCCGTAGGATATTTCTAAACGTAATTTTTGAACATAGAAAAATAGAGACACAAGAAAAGATAATGAAGAAAAATAAGAATAATTTAATGGAATTTGAATAAAAAGAAGGAGTGAGATGGAGATAGTGATATTAAAGCGGGAAAATGTATAGAGAGAGAGAGAGAGAGAGAGAGAGAGAGAGACTGACTGATGTCGATGTACGAACCTTCCCAATTGATCGCGCGCGCGCGTCGAACCGTATAAACGATACTCCTATCCTTTATCTACAGATTACCTTTTACTACTTAACCGTTTAAACAAAAAGAAAGATAGATTAACGAAGAGACATTATTTACTGTATAGATAGATAAAGAGTAATAAAAATTATATGGAATGATATAAATAAAAAAACAAGGATGGACAATATTCTTTAAAAAAAAAGGAATTATAACTTAAAAAAACAAAACAACTGAATGTAAGAGAAAGAAAAGCTAGAAACAAAAATAGAAATATACTTATAACGTGTTATTAGTAAAAGATAGAAGATATTTAGAGTATGTTTCTGTGTGTGCGTGAGAGAGGGAGAGAGAAAGAGAGATTATAAACGAAATAGGAGAAACAGGTTGATATATTTGACGAAGGTATAAATATTAAATATTATGATAGATAAATAAATGTATAGATAGATATATAGGGTAAAAAAATAAATAGATTGATAGATATGTAAATAAATGAGAGAGAGGGAGAGAGATAAAAAAAAAACAGAGAAGAATATTGGTAAGTGAGGATGTGAACGAGAGAGGGAGAAAAAGAGATACAGAGAGAGAGAGAGAGGGKGGATGTTATTTCGTAGTGGAGAGGGAAATAAGAGGATACGAAAAGGGGGTAGCGAGAGGTAGCAGGCCAGCTACTAAGCGCAGAGCGCGTTGATTCGTCTCGGTGAGTGGGTTGCTTCTCGTGTTTTAACATATTAACAGTAAATATTATCTCGTGTGTGTGTATTTTTTTCTCTCTCTCTCTCTCTCTCTCTCTCTCTCTCTCACACACACTTTCTCTAACTCTCCCTCATTCTAATTATTTTCGCATTTCATTCTTTATCTTTTAATTTGATTATCCGTTTACCCCTTGTTGCTGCTTCTCTCCATTTTTTTTTTTTTTTTTTTTTTAAAAATTTTTTTTTTTTTTTTTTTTTTCAAATAATTTTTATATCTTTATTTTTCCTTATCTTATTGTTTTTTTGATTTATTTTTTACCCCCTCTCCGCCCGTTCATTATCGTCATTTACATCAATCCGATTGATTGGTTTTATAAAATTTTCTTCAACTCCTTCGTGTGTGGGATAGAAAGAGACGAAGTATAAACAGAAGAGGAAGAGGAAGAGGTGGAGGAGGTGGTGGAGAAGGAGGAGGAGGAGGAAGAAGAAGAAGAAGAAGAATAAAAAAAAGGAAGAAAGGAAGAAGACAATATCGTTGAGTTTTGAGACCGGTCTTTGCGATAACTTTTTTGCTTTTTTATTAATAACAACGATTAACGAACTTCGAATGATTCTCTTTTTCTTTTTTTTTTTTTTTGTATATAATTAAAAGATCGAATTGTAATATGAAACAATTATATAAGGTCGAAATAGATAATTTCCTCGTTTAATAGAAAAGGAAATAACATATTTGATATAATTTTTGTGTGTAATACTTTTAATTATTATTATCATCATTATTATTATTATTGTTATTATTATTATTTGAATGTAAGGGGTTAACGGATAATAGGATGAAGTCGGAAAGTAATAACGGATACATCAGGGCAAACGTCATCCCAGAACAAAATGAACTCACGTCTCCTTCGGGACAGGACGTTTCTTTAACTGGAAGTCCACTTCAGGTATGATTATTTATAAATAAAAAAAAACAATATTCCACGATTGTTATCAGATAATATTAATTATTCTCGTAAAAAAATTTCGCGCGAAATCCGAAACGACGATAGAGAAAGGCTTTACAAATTATAATAGAAATTAATTCTCTAATTTTATTATTAATTTTCTTCTCTGTGTGTGTTTACTATTACTTTTTTTTTTTTTTTCATAGCAACACTTATCATTGTTTGAATAATTTTAATAAAATTTCGTCGTCGAATTGTCATTATTATTCTTTTAGTTGTTGGGCTTTTTCTCTTTCTTTTTCTTTTTTTTTTTCCTTTTTTCTCGCGAGAAAATAATAATCCTATTTTTTTCTTTTTTTTTTTTTTTTAACGTTTTAACCTTCGCGCTGGAGAATATTTAGTAGCAGGTAGATAATATCATCGATCGGGTACACAATACATAAAGACTAGTATAATTAATGCGAAGTAATTTTAACCAATTACCGAGACACCTGCATCGTGGATAAGGAAGACGTAGGAAAGATCGTAAAAAGAAGAGTGTCATTTAATAACGTGCACACATATGATAGATTACACATATATAAATAATAGAAAAAATTCTAGAAGAAAGAGAAAAGGATAGAAAAGAAAAAAAACATTCAATTTGCATAGATACGTACACACACTCTCTCTCTCTCTCTCTCTCTCTCTCTTTCTCGTACACATAGACACACACACAGACACAAACGCGCACGCACGCACGCGAATATATATAAATGTATAAACATATTTACATACATTGTATCTATATATCGTATCGATGATTAAAAAGAAAAAGAAGAGTTTAAAAATAAAAGGTTCAACTTTATTTACATGGCAAGTTATTTTCGTATTTTTTAAATATATATATATATACATACATATTATATTTGATAAGTGAAAAATCGATGCAGAAGATTCTTTTTGTTTTTTTTGTTTTTGGGAAAATGAAACGATATCAACAGAGAAATTTTTTAAATTGTTATTATTTAATTTACTGTAATTCTATTAAGTTACTATCGTTTAAATTCATTTCAATTACAATTACTCCATGGTGATACTATTATTTTATATAAATATTCTATTTATATAAAACTAGCTGCCACATAAATCGATCATAAATTTATAGAAAAATATAATACAGAAGAAAAAAGATAAATTCGAAAAAGTAATATATAATGCGAAATAGAAAGAATATATATATATATATATATATTCTATTATACATACTTCGCGAGAAGGGAAAAAAACTTTTCCTCTATAATTTTTTCATATCCGTAACTTTTTATGCTTTCTTTTTTTTTTTTTTTCCTGAAGCACACCCTCGTGCACGCTCATCTTTTTTTTCTCTTTTTTTTTTTATCCCCTAACTGATATTATCAGAGAAGAATATTCAAATATATTTATATTCTTTTTCAAATATTATAATTTTTTCCAAAGATTTTGCTTATTCCTATTGTGACGTTGTAGTGATACTATGGATGACAAAAATTGTGCATTCTAAAAAGATATTCGATAAATGGAAGCAGTGTGAATATTTGTTTTGCATTTAGGTTCTCTAGTCGAAGTAGGTTCGCGAAGGTCTCCTATCTTGAAAAGGCGGAATTAGTTCATGATTGTGTATGACGTTTCTTGATTTTCAATGGTAGGTGGAGGGGGTGGGGGTCAGGATATCTTCGTTGATTTTCATCTTCTTTCAAATCAAAGTTACCAGCTTTCAATTTTTTAAACCAATCGCGAACGGTTGTAATAATCGTAGTACCACTCTCATAAACGGTACAAATACGTTTCACTTTTTATTTCATTTTTCTACTAATTACGAAAGGTGACCTATGGACCAACAGGAAGCAGAACAGTTACCAGCATTCTTCATCCAACGAATACGAGAAGTCAAGTCCCTGGAATAACACGTGCCACTTCTGTAACAAGAAGACGAAGAGGTGCATCTGCAAGGCAGCAAATGTTAGGCATTTTTGCTATAATATTGCTAGCCATTTCTATTTTAATTCTTCTTATCTTGGTATTAAATACAACGCGGGAATGCGTCCAAGAGCCACGTGAGTTATCTCTTTTGTTTTATTTCTAATTCTAATTATATTTCGCATAACCGATCAATGGTTGTAACCTGTCATAATATTTACCTACGTTGTACAGTCCGTTATAAAAGAATACTTAGATACATTTCTTTTTTTTTTCTAAAAAAAGATACTTTATTAAATTAATATTAAAAGAAAATGTTTATAAATTTTTTATTGAATTTTATATATATATATATAAAAGAACAGGATAGAATATATAGCTATATTACACAGATACTATTGTAAATTAAAAAATTTTTTTTTAAATAAAATTGTGGAAGTTTTTTTTTTTTTTTTTAATAGCAATTATTAATATTAAAAAAGAAAAATTATTTTTCATAAAAGGAGAGAAAGGATAAATTTTATTGTATTACACGCATTACGTGTATTGCACGTATTCTATAAATATTACCAAATATCGTAAAATAGATCTTAAATCGAAAAATTTATCTCTCTCGAATGGTGATTTCGTCGTTGACCTCGTTAATGACCTTGAGATAAGGAGGAAAGTCGAGATACCGATGCGCTATCGTAACATAAAGTATACGGTGCTTTAACAGAGGGGTTGAAACTATGCTCGCCACGTGTCACGATCGTTACGAAAAAGTTTCTCTATTGGGGAAGGTGTTAGTTCATGTGTTCGTGCTCGAAATTCAAACGAAATGTATTTTTGCCTTTTCCTATTCAATGCATCATTTATTTACGTGATAGTTCACGAGTAATCAAATTTTATTTTGTACTTCTAACACATATAGTAATGTATATATGTACATATATATATATATATATCTATTCATTCGAGAACGATAGAATTTTTTTATATATATTTTAATATTTTTTTCTTTTTTTTTTAATAAATATTATCACAAGCTAGAAATATTTTAAAACGATTTGTTGTAATATTATTATTGATATAATTATATTTTTCATATTTTTTTAAGAATACTTTTGTAAATTGTTCTGAAATATTTTCAAGTGTCTTACTTATTTATTAGAGAATATATTTGTTAATATATTTCTTCAATTAAATATATATATAAAAGATTATTTATATATTACATTTGAAAACTATATGAATATTTGTTTTCCATTAATATGGATGAAAAATTATTTCCTACAAAAGGTTATTGCACTTCCATCAATTTTTTCTTTCAAATAGAATAAAATAACGAATGTTGATTACGCTTATCGAATATTTTTTGTCAAATAAAATAGATCGTTGTATCGTTCATTGAATATTTTCTAATTTGATCGTAACATCGTTGTTTTCTACTGGGGAAAGGATTATAAATCCACTTTTGGAATGGCCTTTTCGAATGGAAGGACACGATAACCTCGACTCGATTCGATTTCATTTAAGATTATGTTGATAATGACATAGATCTTTAGCGTTTGTATTGAGGAAAAAAAAAGAAAAAGAGAGAGAGAAAGAGAAAGACGAAAAAAGATGAATGAACTTCGTACGAAATTAAATGTAAAAAAAAAAAAAACCACATAGCGTTATCCGAGCTACATAATTTCGTTCACTTTTTTTTATTTTTTCTTCTGCGTATCATTTCGCAATTCAAAATTTAATTTTAATACAATATTTTGTTAGATCAGGTGAAACTTCAACTTCGTTTAAAATTAAATTTTTATTTCTACAAGAGTACAGGCTGGTTTAAAATTTTATTAGAGCGATTTTAAATATCAATTATTTTTCTCTTATTATTAAACATTTTATGCTGGTAGTAAGCCTTGCAGTTTGACAGAATAGATAGATTTATTGTCTTACCATTTTGTCCGAAAAAATTTGTTTGAAAAGTATCGATAGGATGTAATTTAATTTTAAAATTATTTAGAAAACGTTCGTGTCATTTCAGAGATATTCGAAATATATTGTTTAATATGAGAACTATATTTTGTTTCACATATCTAATTACGTATTTTTTACAGTTTCTAATTTTTTATTTGTATAATAAATATATTAACATCTTTCAACGAATCGTTCATTCGGCAAACTTGATTATTACAAAGATTTTTATTCAAATAAAGTTAAGCATCAATCACAAATGCTTTGGTGTTAAAATTTAAAACGAAAATTTGTAAAATTTTATAAATCTTCTATTATATTGATAGAAGAAAAATAAAATTAAAATAACAAGAAATATGTGGTGTCACCATGTCGAAAACTAACGGAACGTAAACCACAGCAGTCGTGGCCGAGTGGTTAAGGCGTCTGACTAGAAATCAGATTCCCTCTGGGAGCGTAGGTTCGAGTCCTACCGACTGCGGGAATGTGTTGGATGAACAATATTTTTTTTTTTTCTTTCTTTTTAAATTATATTCACGAGAAAAATAAAAAATTGTCTTTCTTTTCTAGTTGACACGCTAATGAAGAATTTAAATAAAATGAAAAAATATATCCCGAAAGAAATAAAAAAAAAAACTCGGTAATTTACAATTGTGTAATAATGTTATTTAATTAATAATTCATTCCCCTCTGTTTGCTGAGTTCGCCGGAATACAGTTGAGGGAACACGGAAGAATTTTCTCTCGAGAATAGAATTTATTTTCGGTGACTCGCGAAAAGAAAAAACCACGTACGCTTTTTCTTTACAAACACAAGAGAGGGAATTCATTTATTCGTAGAGAAAGAAGAAGACAAAAGGGATGATGAATGAACTCATTTTCTTTGAGAAGAAAAAAGAAAAAAGAGAAATGACAAAAAATGTAACATTAAATAATATTTCCAAGCGTACGTCAGCACCGTTATGTTCTGGACTCATTATAAGCAAAACGTACAATGATATTATTACAATTTTTAACATGTATTAGTATCTTTTTTAGGACATATAAAATTCTATATAATTTTTAATAAGAATGTGTGTTAAATTTTAATGAGTAATATTTTGATAATATCCTTAATTAAAATATTCTTAATTAAATTTATATTTATAAAATAATAATTATTTGTTTATTGCATCTATATACGTACATATAAAATAACACGATTATTAAATACACTTACACATGATATTTGAATAAAAATCATTAGAATTTTTTAAATATAATAATTACGATTTCAAATAATTAACAGGATACATGATAAGAAAACAAATAGGAAGGTTTTCCAAAGTCTGGTTAGATGGTGGTTATCTTAACGTTTTTTTCCTTTTGTTTTTTTTTTCCTTATCATTGGAAATTTTTCGTTTCGTAAATTGTACAAGAAAAGCTCGGAGATCCTATCTTTTTCGACTTATTTTTCAACGATCGTTATTTTCTTCCATTCGGATAACGCGTTCTCTTGCACGTATTACGAACACTAGAACACAACCCTCTTTTCTTTGAAGAAAAAAAAAAAGAGAAGGAAAATAGAGGAAAAATAATGGTAGATTAGATTCGTAGACAAGTCGTAAACAAGTTCAAGGAAAATAAAAATCTACTTGTTAATCGCACGGGGTGACACGATTTTTTTTTCACGTCTGAAAAGAAACAATAAATAAATAAATGTGTATATATATATTATAGAGTATAAATTACGAACAAACATTTATGTCAGATAGTAACATATTTTCTTTTGTCACACAGAATTGTTAATAAATTATTTTTTTTTTTCAAATTATTTTATTTCTCATTTAAGGTCCAAACGTGTGCATGTCGGAAGAATGCGTGAGAACCGGTAAGTTTTTATAAATACCACATAATGTTCGTTTTTATCTGATTATTATTAATGTTAATATATTAAGTATTTCCAATCCTAAGTATATAAATAGGCTTATGCGTATACTTTAAAAAAAAAAAAACAAAAGAAAAAAAGAACGTAGAGAGATTTAATAAATAAAAAGAATCCTAATTACTTAATTATTAAACATTAAAAATTTGATATAGAAGTTATATCGATTATTATAATGATTTTCGAAAAATAATAAAATCGAAATATGAGAAAGTACGTTGTTTACGTTGTTAATTAAATTTAACGTCGATTATGCTCGTGTATATATATATATATATATTTTTGTCAAGAATTTTAATAAATTAATTAACACAACGTCCTCTTTAATCGAGCATAGGATGATCGTGGTGAAAATCGGTGGTAAATTAGGGCTATGGATAAGCGTTCATCAAGCGTGATTGATTGTGTAGCGGTGATCGGAAGCAAACACGTTTCTATCAGGTACTGCGGACAGGTTACGAAATCGGATTACGGTGTTACGTGGTATCGATTAATTGTCCTTCGCTAAATTCGTCCCTTCACGATGCTTTCTTCATTATTACGTTTCGATATATTGCTCACTACTATTGATTAATTCATTTCCTTCTAGTTAATATGAATGTTTCTTGTCATTTTTATTAATTAATTACCGTTAATTGGATATACTATATTATATTGCATATTGCATGTAATTTACAAATAATTATTTTATTCATTTATACAATATTTTATATTTTAGTATTATTATATTTAGAAGAGAGAAAAAAAGATATTATTTTAGTAATATAANATTTTACGGGCATATATTTTTCTTCTTTATTACAATATATATTAATAAATAAATAAATATTAATACAATTTTCGTGTTATATTATACTTTTGTCGTATATTTGCGTTATGTGTTATATACTATTTATTTGAAATTTATTTTGTGTAATAGTTCATTTTTAACGTTAAATATATAGTTTTATTTTAACGATATTGTGATTATAAGAGGGGTAGAAGACGGGGGCGAGGATAGATATTAATCGAAACTGTAATTAATCTACAGCAGCGTTCACGACAGCTCATTTCATCGACATCGTTCACTTAAGTTGTGTCAGGATATTAATCTCGCTCCTAGATAATACCGTTATCCAACAATTTTACTAGTTTCGTAGGAAGATCTTATTAACAAAGTAATTAAATAAATAATAATAATAATAAAAAAAAGGAGAGAAAAATAATAAAGAAAATCTTAATTATTTTATTGTTGTAATACTTCGACAATACAATTTAATAATTATGTTTTAATAGTTTAATAATTATTTTTAATATTTATCTTTTTGGAATATGTGATCTTTGTATATTATATATGAAAAAAAAAAAAGTTAGGAGATAAATTGTGTTTATTATTTTTTTTTTACTAATAAATTACAAATGAAAATAAAACGATTTGTTTTTGCATATAGCTGCAAGTTTGCTATCAGCCATGGACAGAACTGTATCACCTTGCGATAACTTTTTTCTATACGCATGCGGTACTTGGAATCGTTTGCATGTAATACCAGAAGACAGAAGTTCTATTAGTACATTTGAAGTACTTGCTGATCAATTGCAAGTTATTTTGAAACGTGTTCTTGAGGAATCACCGAACGAGAACGACAATAATGCAACCCTCAAGGCCAAAATGTTCTACAAATCGTGCATGGACATCCGTGGGTATAAAAAAGAAATTACAGAAATGTAATTAACGATAGCCGAACGATATCTTCTTCATATTTTATGCTAAAACATTTAGATTTTTTTATCTAACGAATTAATAATATTCAATATAAAAACGAGGCTACGATTTATTGGTATCAGAAATTTCGATAATTTTATTTTCCGTATTTTCTATAAGTGATCAGTATAGGGGTATGTATCCCCAATAACATCATGCCATTATAATAAATATCATAAAATTGAATTAATTATAAATATTCATATATATATATATATATATATATATATACTGATCATTTATCTTTAATCAAAAATATTAATTAACAAATATTCAAA